CAAGAGTGGTATATCAGTTGTAGTGTCCTAGTACTCGCAAACTGTAATTCTAAATAATAACAGCAAAATCAAAAGAGGTCTCAATATCCCCCATTTCCATCCCACCACTCCTTCTTCTTTCCTCCTGCTGATCGTTCAGGTGTATATCAGTATGTAGTGTCTCTACTTTAAAGAGTCCTCTCCTGCTGATGTTCAGGTGTATATCAGTATGTAGTGTCTCTACTTTAAAGAGTCTATATCAGTGTGTAGTGTCTCTACTTTAAAGAGTCCTCTCCTGCTGATGTTCAGGTGTATATCAGTATGTAGTGTCTCTACTTTAAAGAGTCCTCTCCTGCTGATGTTCAGGTGTATATCAGTATGTAGTGTCTCTACTTTAAAGAGTCCTCTCCTGCTGATGTTCAGGTGTATATCAGTATGTAGTGTCTCTACTTTAAAGAGTCCTCTCCTGCTGATGTTCAGGTGTATATCAGTATGTAGTGTCTCTACTTTAAAGAGTCCTCTCCTGCTGATGTTCAGGTGTATATCAGTATGTAGTGCCTCTACTTTAAAGCGTCCTCTCCTGCTGATGTTCAGGTGTATATCAGTATGTAGTGTCTCTACTTTAAAGAGTCCTCTCCTGCTGATGTTCAGGTGTATATCAGTATGTAGTGTCTACTTAACTTTAAGACGTCCCCTGCTGATGTTCAGGTGTATATCAGTATGTAGTGTCTCTACTTTAAAGAGTCCTCTCCTGCTGATGTTCAGGTGTATATCAGTATGTAGTGTCTCTACTTTAAAGAGTCCTCTCCTGCTGATGTTCAGGTGTATATCAGTATGTAGTGTCTCTACTTTAAAGAGTCCTCTCCTGCTGATGTTCAGGTGTATATCAGTATGTAGTGCCTCTACTTTAAAGAGTCCTCTCCTGCTGATGTTCAGGTGTATATCAGTATGTAGTGCCTCTACTTTAAAGAGTCCTCTCCTGCTGATGTTCAGGTGTATATCAGTATGTAGTGTCTCTACTTTAAAGAGTCCTCTCCTGCTGATGTTCAGGTGTATATCAGTATGTAGTGTCTCTACTTTAAAGAGTCCTCTCCTGCTGATGTTTTT